CAACCAATTTCATTAAAATAGTATTTCACTTTCCTGAGGACTGATATAATCTTTTTATCCAGCTGAGTTTCAAAGAATCAACAACGTTTTTAATATGAAGCATCTTTAAACCACCAACCATACAATCTTGAAAAATAACCTCTCTTTTAACTTTATGTGTTTTGCTATGCCATAAAAATGCATAAAGAAGAACATTTATTTTTGTAAAAGTTTTTTCATCTTGGTTAGGAAGTGAAATAAATAGATGGCTTAATTGCGATACCATTAAGGATTTTATGAAGTGAATTTTCCAAATCGGAGTTAATTTTCGCCTGCTCCAGTTATTAAGAAGACTTTTCAGTTTCATTAATTTTTTGTCAAAGTTCATCTTAGGCATTTCTTGCAGATTGACACTAAAATCAATTCCTAACAAAGTAAATTTCTCTTTCCCCCATTGTAACTGTAATTTAGGTAAAAATGTTTCCTGGCTTTATTTTTTACTGCCTATCTAAATTATTTGTGTTTTATCAATATTCATCCTTAATCCTGATCTTTTTGCAAAGGTACTAAGTTCATTAAATGATGCTCTAACAGACTGCTCTGAACCTTCTAATGTCAAGTATGTATCATCTGCATACTGCGAAAGTAAAAGCATCATCTTCTTGAATACCTTTTATGTTTTTGTTATTTCTAAGTCTGATAGCAAGGATTTCAGATCATAAAATAAAAATATATGGCGCGATCGGGTCGCCTTGACGACTGCCTCTCTTGATGTTAAAAAAAATAGAAAGATTACCACCTTGATTTACATATGCCCCTACATTATTATGAAAAACCTTCACCCAATTTGAAATATCATTACCAAACCCAAAGAAACCCAATACCTTATCAATGAACTTCCACGAGACAGAATCGAATGCTTTCTCAAAATCTATCATTAAAACCATACCTGGAATATCCTTATCTTCTGTGTACTGCATAACATCATATAAAAGTCTTGTATTTTCACCCATATATCGGCCAGCTATGAACCCTGTTTGGTCCTTGCTAATAAGTTAATCAAGTACTGTTTTTATTCTATTAGCTATAGCCCCAGATGCAATTTTATATATAATATTCAGTAAAGTTAAAGGCCTCCAGTTTTTTAGAAAATGGCGTGGTTTATTATCTTTAGGAATACAAGTTATTATACCCTGACGTTGAGTGATAGATAATTCTCCTTTATGTACCCATAGTTTAATGATCTGACAATAGAATTACAAAGAAGTTTAAAAAAAAATGAAAACTCAACAGTAAACCCACCTGAGCCTGGACTTCTATTATTTTTCATATTTCTTCGTGTTTTGCCTGCTTCCTCAATTGATATCAATCCTTCTAAATTTTTAGATTCAACTTCATTAAGTTTTGGAATATTTTCAAGATTAACAAAGGCTTCAAGATTAACATCTTCCATGTTTTCTCTAGCATGATATAAATTTTCGTAAAAGGACTTAGTCTCGGCTTGAATATCATCTTGTTTGTAATAATAGAGCTATCATCGAGTTGTATCTCCGGTATAATTTTTGAAACAAAATTTCTATTTTCAAGACTAAAAAAATAACTGGTTGGTTTCTCCCCTTCCTCTTCCCATTTGGCTCTTGATCTAACTATACTTCCTTTAATTTTTCTTAATCTAATTTCTTCCAGTTCCTTTTTCTTATTATTTATTTCTCCTACATTAATTATCTCTTGTTTTTCTAGTTCCTCTATAGTTTCAATGAGCTTAGTTTCTCTTATGTTCTGTTGTTTCTTTTTATAGGATGCATGTGATATTGTTTTACCTCTAATACTCGTCAATAAAGTCTCAAGAAATAAATTGTCGTCTATAGTTAACTGTAGATCTATATCAGGTATTTCATCAATGTTTTCAAAATTGTATATCGGAAGACAATATTGCATTTTAGTTTCCTTAATTACATTTTTAACTATATCTAAATAATCTTGGTCGTATAATAAGGAGTTGTTTAACTTCCATAATCCTTTGCCCTTTTTAAATTCAAGAAGCCTTAATGTTGTTTTGGGAAAAGAATGGTCAGATCGATAGCGAGAATCGATTGTTGAATTTATTACACTAGATGATAAACTTTCTGAAATTAAAAAAAATCTAGCCTTGATTGTTTTATTGGGTTTGATATTCTCCAAGTATATCTTTTGTGATTGAGTTTTAGCATAAATACAATAACTTGTAGCTTGTCAAGGATTATATGTTTGCCTCGGCATTCAATTGCTGATATAAATGATGTCTTCCGTTAAAAATCAGTATGATTGGTAATAGGTTAAGACACGACAAAAAGGGACACATAAAATTCAGTTTTAAAGATAAGAAGATTTTGATAGTATTAAATTGTGTTTCTTAAGCACCAACGCTAAAATGTTCATATTATAATTTTCCAATTAATCAAATCAATTTCAGATTGATCAATATTTGAATTCTGTAATATTTTTCGGAGTTCATTTGTCGAAACTGGTAAATTATTGTATAGATTGAATATTTTTGGAAATTGTTACAAGAAAAATCTTAATTGTTGACATTTAGCATTTTTTTAAAGATGTTTTTTTATCAATATTTGATTATGGCAATTATATCTATTTTAGTGAAATGTAAATACGGAAGCAGCAGAATGAGTGTTGTATCATACTAATGACCCTAGCTAAAATGTCTGGATCATACTGTACTGGTAGGGATACATTTTATTGATGAATGTTATAGATCATTACACTAACCTGGAGGTCTTGCAAAAGCAAGTTATACCAAATCATATGTGGGGGATGGTTTCACCTAGCTCATCCTTTAGGAAGTATGAGTCTATGGTGTTTTCCTTTCCCCTTTTTCTCATGTGTCATCAGTCCTGTATCATTTATATTTGCTTTAAGGTGATGAAAAGCTAACGGAATGGGTTCGTTAAAATCAGATTTAAAATGTTATGTTTTGATTAGTATATATATATCATATTTATTTTCCCCAAAATTATATATGTAATTTGATGGAGTGGCACTCTTCTTGCCTTCTGCGTTACATCTCCAGCACCAACCAAAATATCCTTTCAATGAAATAGAATCTAGATTGCCCGATCCGATCAACTTTGTTTGTGAGATCATTCCCAATACCTATCAATTAGGGTATCGCATCACGGTTCACAAATTAAAAATACAGTGACTCTTACGATAATTTCAATTTCCTTTGTGCAATGTAACATTTTGATATTTATTTCACTGGAATAAAAAATAATTTCTTTTTTTGCAAGTTCTAACACATCCTGTATGAACACAGGATTCAATGTAATTTTAACTCTCTTGATTTTGCACCAGACTGCGATATGTTTCGTTCCTCTCTCGCCGAGTTCAAAGTCCGGCTAAAAAATGTTTGCTATCAGTAATTCCTTTTGTTTTACATATGAGTATCTTTTAGTCTGTGTTACATGCGTAACTGACTGTGATATTTTATACTTGTGTTGAAATGTTGTTATCCGTTCTGTAAGTGGAACCTTGGGTCTGTTGAATTGGAAATAAATAAATAAAAAAATAAAAATAAAATAAACGTCTAACATTAATTCATGACCGTCTTAGACAAGCAGAAGCTTTCGATGTATTGAAATGAACCTAACATTTGAATTACCACATTATACAATTCTCTCTGATGTTGAATTAAATCCACTTTAGAATGGGTCTGTCTCGTGATAATAACATATTTCATAATAAACGTCCTACTAACATTTTACATTGCTTCAATATAGGAATTGGCCATCTGCCTCCATCGTACTCAGACACATTCCCTTCACCTTTGTTGATTTGGGGGATTTTTAGAGTTTCATTTTGTTACCCTTTTGCTGTCTCTTTTGTGATCCTAATTTAATCTTCCTTCTTAATATCGTGATTGTGTCTCCTAAATGTATTTCTAAGTATATTATGTTTATAAAAGGTATTCCTGCAATTATTGGACCTACCCCATATAGCAAATATGATATTTTTACAAAAGAAAACTTACTCGGCAGAATTAAAGTTAAATGTTGTTAACTCTGCTAAGGAACCCGGCAATCGGGACAGCATGTAAAATTGAATAGAAGTCCGTTATACAATTGCGCCTGATTATGATGGCTGTGGATAGGATACAAACGCAAATATATAGTGCATTTAACATAAAATAATTGTATGTACTGTACAGTTTCTATATTAGTTCAAGAATAAATTATCTGTTTTCCCTAATAGGTCTTTTGTAATGCAATAGGGGCTTTCATGTGCGGCCTATTTTTAGGAATAAACCACTGATGAAGACTAACTGAACGAAATGGTCATACAGTAAATCAGAATGTTATTTTTTTGTGACTTTCTGCATCGTAACACTAAATTAAAAATATCTTTTCCTCATTTTGTACTTGTAGTATTTATTGATTTTTAATTATCAAACTTTGAAAATGTGTCTTTGTTACTATTATGATTTTGGATTGGACACCCGTAATGGGCAACTTTAAAATGTATTAGTTTTAAAAATCATAGTCTTATCAAATACTTAACATCTGCAAAACAATTTATGTACGACATTTCGTCTGTATTTTTTCTTGATATTACAAAGTTATCCGTCAACATACGGATAGGGTATAAAGTAACACTGCACGATATTCTACACTACCCCATCATCCGTTCAGTATTCTGCCGGGATATTTGAATTGTAAGAAGCTATGTTCAGTCACTCATGACGATTTAAGGTAATGCATTCTTCCTGATTTAGGCTGATCTACCCACAAATGGATATAAGTAGAGCAATGGCCCGCTAGCCAATCACTTGCCCATCATACTTCCGGTATGATGATGAACATTTATAAGACTAACTAGAAAATCGTAAAAAATATAAGCTATGTACAATTATACATGACCATTTAAGGTAAGGAATGATACATGATGAAGTTTGATCCTCCCAAAAAAAATTATAGGCTGTGCACAATTATACATGACCATTTAAGGTAAGGAATTTCTGCACGATTCAGATGTATCCTCCCAAAAACACTATAAGTAGACGGGCGACCCGCTAGCAGATCCACACCGGTTACAGATTCCTACAGCTTGTGTGTTCAATTGACGTCCAGCAACTAGGTAAGTATGAATATTACATCATTTTGAACTGGTCACAGCCAATAGTTTAGAAATGCTACATCATGATTCTGAATTAAGAACTTATTGTTCAGTCAAAAAGAGACCGAGTTTTGTTCGGGTAAACTGGGCCCCTATTAATGAAATCGATCTCATAGTCGCGAATGGATTCTGTAGTCAAAGTCTTTCAAAAATTCTTTCAAAACCTGAACAAAATGTGAGTGTTTTTTTTTAAAATAATCACAGGAACAAGAAATACTTGAGTTTGAGCATGAAATTAGTTTCATGAATACGGTCCATGGTATATTTATCGAATATCTTTTGTACGATTTAAAAGCAACACTATGCTATCAATACAATATCTGTAAAAGAAATTATATCTTTTTATGCTATTATCTTTGTAGCTATTTTTTCATTTCTTAATTAAGCTCGGCTTTTCGGATGATAACACCTTGAGTCCGCAAGCAATACAAACAATACCAGTTTTCACTTCTAATATTAGTAGGTTGTTACTCATAATGCATTTTTTTTACATCTGTATGTCTATCTTTTTTAATGTAATTGCAATCAGTCGTGGGACCCACTTTCTGGTCATGGCTCTGCCGGTTGTAATTGTCAATTGTGATTGTAAATATAAAAGTCATGTCCAGTCCAGGGCGGGGTTCATTAGTGATGCACAGTTATGCTCTGATCTCTATCTATATCTGAACACATCATTTCTAAATGCTATCTTTCAATATTTGTTTAAGGGAATACTCTTACTGTTATTTGTGGATATATACCTAAACCCAAACATAAGTAGTGACCAGTATCTATCAGACAACTTAAAGATAGGTAACATGAATATTTGTTCACTGTTAAACAAAACTTATCTCATTGACATTTACTATGGCAACTGTGACATTCTATGCGGGTTAGTGAGACTCATCTTAATTCATTAGTTGGTGTTGCTGACATCCATACTGAATTTGTTTCAACAGTCTTTCGTATGGACAGACAGCATATGCTAAGAATAACAGAATTTCCAAACGTATATTATACCTGGAATCTGATGATGGTTTTCTAGACCGAGATTAAATTGCAAAAAAAACAAATGTTTGAAATGCTTGTAGGATGCTTATATAAGGCTCCAAATTCTTTAGTTAACTACTGAAATAGCTTAGATGAAGTTTTTACACAAAAAAAAACCACTTTTATCCAAATAAACCAGAATATGTTGAATTTGACCCTTAACCCTTACTTAAAAATGATTAATGATAAAGTATGGAATAAAGAACATTATCAATCTGTAAACGTTGAATATTACGCGCGGGAGTAATTTACGCTTATGACGCGGAGCTGGATTGTCCGCGTAAATTTTCCCCGCGCTTATGGTTTCGTCGATAGTTGATAAATTGAAAATTCAGTTGTCATTCCCCGAGTGTCCAAGTATCTTCGTAAAATGTCTCGCTGCCTTTATAGGTCCATTGAAGATTGCATACTTTGCAATCTGTGCCTTCTGTTCTGGGGTATAATGAACGGAGACTCTCCTCTTTCTTTTTCTTCTTCTTCTTCTTCTTCTTCTTCTTCTTCTTCTTCTTCTTCTTCTTCTTCTTCTTCTTCTTCTTCTTCTTCTTCTTCTTCTTCTTCTTTTTTTTCTTCTTCTTCTTCTTCTTCTTCTTCTTCTTCTTCTTCTTCTTTTTTATCGGTATTTTTGTTAGGTAATTTAGGATTGATATGTTTCTTCAAATGACAAAATTCGAATGTTTTCTAGTGCACACAAAAATAAGACACACACATACACATGAATATAGTTCACCTTTATTTTCATCTGTCCAATGACCAATCGGTACGCATACGTAACATGTACTTATGATCAGTAGCTACTAGTATTTTTACCTGTACACGTTTTGTAAAGTAAGGGATATATACTCGTACGCCCATACAGATATACCTTGAGACAGACGGACAGACATACATACATTTAGACAGACATACATAATTTAGACGGACATACATACATTTAGACAGACATACATAATTTAGACAGATATACATAATTTAGACAAACATACATACATTTATACAGACATACATACATTTAGACAGACATACATACATTTAGACAGACATACATAATCTAGACAGATATACATACATTTAGACAGACATACATAATTTAGACATACATACATTGAGAGAGACAGACAGACAGACAGACGCATCAACTTTTGTGCAAACCAGTCTGAATGACACCATAATTCTAAATAATTTTAAATATAACAGGGAATTGATTTAAGTGAAAAACAACTATTATTATTACATCACTGCAAAAATCTTGGAACGGGAAACCAAAAATGATATGCATGCATGCACACTTATATATCAATGTATAATTCTAAAAGCTTGATATGCCAGCTAAAAATGTAAATTGATTGAAGAACTTTATTAGAAAAAGATGATTGTAGAGAAGGGCTGACAACAGGAAGTAGTTGTCTATTTTATTCTAGTATGCATGCATGTTCAGATGTACATGTATATATATATACGCGTTGTTGTATATTTCTTTGACACATGGTATACATTCACATTGATATAGACATATATTGACATAAATTGTGATACAGCATTTTAACTTGCATGCTATCACACATAATGATATTGTGTAGTACATGTTCATGTTTTACCATATATAATTCTAACCCTAATTAATGACAATTGTTAAATGTATTTTAGTATATATTATGGCTTAGGTAGTACCTGGTGTGGCCAAGACAAAACAAAAAATGTGTTGGGCTGCATTTTGGGTATGCACGAGTTATTTGCACGTATGTTATTTCATTTCATCATATTTTAATAAGTAGGATTGAACAGCAGGATAGGCATATATAAGTTCTCTCCTTAGGTTGACATGACAGGGATAAAGATGAAACGGTCAGTAAGAAAATATGGATGCAAATTATATATTATAAGTAGCAAAAATCCCCCGTCTATATATAGCAGATGGTATAGGGGAGATAAATCCATGTACAAATGTATGTTTCAATTACATATAAATAGTTAATGTATATTTTGAGCTATACAATGCTCTTATTAAAAAGTCAATCAGAATTAATTAGTAATAGGCAAGCAATGCCCTAATGATATATTAAACAATTTTATTTTTATCTTTATGCAATTCATTAATACCCCCTGTTCATACCCTGCTGCTGTTACACAAAGTAGTTAAAAGTATAGAACCATGTAGTATCAATATATATCATTGCTTGTATGTTATACATCCAGGACACCATTTTAACAAGTTCAGTTTAAACAGGTGACTTATTTGACAAGGTCTTGTTTACAAAAGTCATAATTCTGTATAGGATGCCGCAATGTGACATTAGTTAATTTTTTATTATGTACTAATTTATATAAAACACAGGTTTTCATTCAGGTTCTCTTGTCTGTTGAAAATAAAATAAACACAAACACAAACAGCACAACCATATAATAACACCATAACATACCAGATATATACAGTTTTATTTTATTATATTACAATATTTCACCACTATATCTTCTTACATTTTCAAGATGAATTTTAAGTATTCGTTTCGAGAGAAAGAATATCAAATATACAAAGATACAATGTATGGATTCTCAAATTTTGGTATATTTAGTTTTTTTAAATCGGAAAGAATGATGACTTTCCCAGAAAGTATGCTGTATAGTTTCAATTTCTGTGTAACACGTATTACATATATTATCGTTCAAAACACCAATAGTTTTTCAAGTAATTGTTTAGTGGGAGAATGTGATTTTGTTACCGGTATTGGAGCCACTGTAGTGTTATATCAGTTGTACTATTAAAAGGAATGCTAAACAATCGTTCCAGCCTATGTTTCTAAAACTCTCTTTTAATTTCCATTTTATTTCAGCTGTATTCGCACATATATTTTTATTATTTAGGGTAACATACATGTCTTTACAACCTTTCTTGCTTTTCATAATTACATTGATATGGTGTGGTATAAATGGTATTTCAACAGTGTTAAATTAAACTTCAAGTGTCTATATCTTTGCTTAATTGATTGGCATATACTTTGATAAAGTAAGAAGTTTTCCGAAACGATATTGAATTTTAGTTTGCAAAGGTTAGAAAAGAATTATCTTGGTCTGGTAGATCAAACTCATTTTAACACCCATCTCAAACCATTTTTTAAAGAAAAAAGACCTATTATCAATGCAGAAAATTGGATTATACTATATAGGAAAAGTAAGAAACTGTTCAATATTTAGGGCTTTTCACCAACAGGTGAAAATACCTATTTGTTTTGTTCTGTTTATTCTTCTTCTTCTCAAGACCAACTTTTCTAAATAGTTATAGGTATGTACATGATATTTTGTCAGGTTGTAGGTAATAGTTTGAAGATGTCATGGCCAAATTTTGAAGATATTCAAAAATTCAATAAGGCCGCCTTGACCTTTAAAGCGATTTTATTCACCTTTTTTAAACAGCCATATATCCTTAACTATAAATGGTACTGTATTTATACTATAATATATTGATAGAGTGTAGTCGTGGCCCATGCCATGTGATGAGGACAAAGGTCAAGTTTAAATCCTCGCCATGGGGTCAAACGTCACCTATTTTTAAAACTTTTTCATTTTTCACTTTTTGTTGTTGTTGAAAAACTGTTATTGTTGTGGATAGGAAATGTCCATCCGATCAATTTGATGTATTTTTTCTGTAACATTTACTGTTAACGTCATATATCTTACAAAGTATATCTGACTACATTTGTCAAACTAATAGGCTTGATGTGTAATCTCACTCACAGCAAAACTTAACATTGAAAGTGATGCTTTTATGTATAGTGTCATGATCACTCTGCTAATAAGTATTGATACTGGTGTATCTATCTGCACAACATCTCTGGTATTCGGCTTGACTGGATGGAATTTATGAGTGTACTATTCTATAACCTGTTCTAACTATTTCATACTTACATGAATATTCTATTATGCTTTGATAAATATTTTTTTATGAAAATCAACTCTAATAATATATAATAATAGCTACAATTTCCTATATGAATCCATATCATATTCTGAAATTTTACAAAATCTTTATTTCTTGGTAACTTATCCTATATATCCAGTGGGTGGATGGCCAATGTGTTTATACACAGGGACCTTTGGGCCTGAATCCCTTGGATTTTATGCAGGATGGGTTGTCAATAAATATACATGATTTATTTAATTGTTTATATGTAAAACAAACAGAAAATGATTGAATAAAAGTTGTAAAATGTTCATTTCACAAGCTTAATTGGATTTATATCCCCTGCACTGTTTTATTGGATTGTTATTACAGAGTATATGTAATATTTGTAAATAAGTTTGGAAAGGACTTAAATATACCTAGCCTGATATCCAATCCAATTGACATATATAAAGTCAAATCTGTTGAAATGAACGTCATATGACGTTCATTATTTCCTTTGATCTTTTGAAAAGCCGACAATATTACTAACAAACTTTAACGATCTCCTTCTCCGATTCTGCCAGTGCAATATTAACCAAAATTAGTACATGCATTCCTTTTGGCCCTAACGAACTTATGAATATCTCCTCAAATTCTACTCAGTCAATATTAACCAAAATGGTACAACAATTCGTCTGCGGCTCTTTATGGCCAGCACCATCACAGATTAGGTAATCATTTACAATGTATTATGATATATGAGTCAAAGTTTAATATGAATAGATAGTGCAATGTGCAGTTATTTGTACAAAATGGGCTAACTGAAAGAAAATCTAAATACGAGTTACCTCCTTTTGGATTCTATATTTAGACTTATGTAAAAAGCCCGTCAAATTGTTATCAACAATTTATAGTTTTATTTTGCATTTGTGTTTCTTCTGAAATATCTACCCATGTCTGAAATACATTTTCCATGAAGGTATTTTTGGTCGTCAATTTTTTAATGAAGTCAGTACCAACATCTGATATGTTGATTGCCTGAAAATGTTGTGCTAATAAAGTACTGGTCCAACATTTATCATTATTCTTGATTAATCTTCTTATCCTTGTAGACTTAAGGCAAGTTATAAAATTCCTGATATTTATTATTTTCAGACCCCCATTTTCATAGCTTTGGACTATAGTGTCTCTTTTAGATAGGGCGCTATATCAAATGCTGTATATTATATTACTATTTTATAACAATGCCTGTAATAAGATGCATATATTTAGATCACTCAAACACAAACTTATAGAAATAATATACAAGTCTTCTGGAATATAACTGAATGTAATTATTATAAATTAAGATTAATTAGTGAACCCAGAAAACAACCTGTTCATTATGCAATACCCCAAAACATTGAAGATATATGTCCTTTTTTTTTTTAAATATGAAGGGACTATATTTTTTAACATAATATTATGTCAATTTCGATATCGTGCAAGTCAATTGAACTCTGGTCTCTTTAGAGACCATCTTATTGATAATCCCTCTTGCGTATGTGGTTATGATATTGAAGGTGTGATTTGTGCATTACCCTAGAATCATGACTAAAGGAAAACAATAAACAATATCTGTGTCTCATTAACAGCTTGACATCCATTTAAATCTACATTTATTTTTAATATACTGACTAAATGAAGTAGTCACTTAAGTGGAGATCCTAATTCAGCTATTCGTGTATATAGATGTGTGTTTGGGGGGGGGGGCGGGGGGGAGAAGGGGTCGTGCGTGCGTGCGTGTGTCCTCGTTGACTTGGTTAGCACGTAGTTCTGGTGTATACAGACTTTCAGTGCTGCAAGTCAAATTAAAACCTGGAGTGGGAGTGATGATGGTTGACTAGTAGCTAGAAATCAGTAAATAGTACACATTGTATTCCTAGCAGATGTTTATGATAAAAAGTAAATATGTTAATCAGTTAATTTAATATTAAAACCCTGTTATTATTCTATGCTTAATAAACCAATTATAAGTATACATACATAAACATACATACACAAAGTGGAATAACATCAGAATATTTCCGTTTTACTTGCACACTAAATGAATACTAGCTAATTTGCTTCCAGATTTATTTCTTATGTTCCAAACCAATGTTAATATTCCTAGTTCAGAGTCTGCTATTGTTTGAAATGTACCGTCAGGGCTTGTAAAGGCTTTGTCTGTTGCCCAATTCCTTTTAAATCTGATTTATTTTATAAAATAGTTCGAAATAAAAATCATTACAACGTTTAAATGATAAAAAAACCTTTATTGATTATTTGTTTGTTTTACAGGTTGAATATAATATGGCTGCTCCATGGCGGAACGTTGTCCCAGCTACTGAAGATGTGATAGACATCACAGCTAATGTACGTTTATTACACATTGATGTTGTTAAGTCTCTTATATGTATTAACTATGTCACTCCATATATACTTTCATGCACTTTAGTCCTTACCTTGCAGCAGCACTACAAGTTCAGTAAATTATTCTGTAGGCGGAAATGTGTGTGTGAACCACAGGAAACTGTACATTTAGAACCCAGATAGAGAAATGAGTTTTGTGACCATGAAAATAATAAAAATCAGTCAAAATTTGAACTTTAATGTTTACATTGATTCTATCATTGGGTATATGACGTTAATTGTGATCATACGACCAACTGATTTCAGATATATATTTGTCAAAAACTGACATCGGAATACTATTTTGAAAAACAGCAAAATAATAGAATTTAAGATATATATGCTTAAGATGAAAGCACTATTGGCTTATCTCAACAGCAATAAATACGTTTATTTAAAATGGATTGAAATATGTATCTTTCTGTATTTAACTGTCATACAAAACCAACTTTACTTTAACAGAGTAAAACTTCATAATTTGTCAACATGACTGATTCGGTGTTATTCTTTGGCCAAATTGAACGATATGCCAATTAATTCATCTTATAGATAAAAACAACTAAACTGACAATTAATTAAACAGAGGTAAACATGTTGTATTTAGGCAAAGCAAATTATCCCTAGGGCAAATCCCAATAAAAATAACCATTTTTGTTGTTCTGAATCGTGGAAGGTCAGTCGAAAGTGCAATGGGTGAGGTTTTCTCCATAACAGTTTGGAAACATTTGTCAATAAATCTTACCTCAACTTGCTTTTGCAGTAAGTGGTGCATGCACAGAGGGTAGATATAAAATGCTTTAACGCCTTTGTTTTAGCAACATAAAAGACGCAACGTTGTGTCTTTTTCAACCAATAGAAATATTTTGCTCACTGTATTTTCTTTTTTTCAGCTTCAACCTGCGACTGGAATTTTCCTAGATGCAGGAGATTTCGAGATGTTTGAATCGATTTCAAGCATTAAGCAGGTCGTACAAGGGACTAACTACGTCATCAAGGTGAGAATTTAGTATAGAATGTACGACAATGAAAGGTTGATCGCAATCATCAATTGGAAAAACGGAGACACTCAACTCCTCCGTTAGTCCATAAAATTAAAATATAAACACGTGTTTCAATCAACAACAACAAATCCGATCCACCCATTTACACGCGAATCGAACGAATGAAATGCATAACGTAGATCACTAATGAAGTATAGCTTACATCATGACTTACATTGTATCTCTTTATAATAAAACAACATCTAACATTTGATAAACTTAAAATACATTGTATGCCTATTTTCGTTCTGTTTATGTTAACTTCTGTACTACTTATTCAACGTGAATTCCACACTCAAATAAAGAATTATTAAAAACATAAGATACTGTCTACACAATGTAGCCTACCTTAAAGTACACGGAACTCCCATTTCTATTTAGCAAAAGATCCAACTTGACGAGGGTAGTGTATATTTCTTAACAAATATTTGAAGTTTGTCAATATATAGGTGTCTTAATGTAAATGTGTAGTCTTAATCCATGGCTGTATGTGAAAGGCTTTACTCTATCAAGGAAAACACTCATGATAAAATGATCGTGTTCTTCATAAAGAAATGTGGTGACGGGTGAGTGGTACTGCAGGCGTAAATGTTGTTGGGGTCAGTCATACGTAGCCATCAGTAAGGTAGGGGGTTTTGGGTGGCGCGGTGGATAGCTCGCTCGACTTTCACGGAGACAGCCGGGGTCTTTTGCAATAATATAACCCGTTTCTTTACTTGTCATTGTACTTCAATATATGGAACCATTGTGATATGTATGGATGTAATTTAAGTTTTGACTTTCTATTTGGACACAGGTCCGCATCAGTCCAGAAGATACGGGCTACATCCACATGAAGACATATGTGGCACTACCCATTAACAACCAAGGCCCTGTTATTACAGGCATCCAGCAAAACAAAACTCTCAACGATCCGATTGAGTCATTCAATTAGCCATATCTGTATGGCCATTGTTTCGTGATCAACTATAAACATTTTTAAAAGAAAACAATGTCAAATGCTTTAGATTCGAATAAACAAATACATAAACTGTATAACATAAGGTAATTGAATATGAATTTGTTGTAAAACTATTTGGAAAATAAAGAAGTATGCTTATTCTGTAAATCATAGAGATTTGATTTGTCATTTGGCATGTTGTCGCAATGATGGTTAAACCAGGCTTAGAAGACGACATGTTTAAGCGGATTTGTATAAAGATATAAACAAGTATTATGCGTGCATATCTCATTTATATGTTGATGTGTATATAAACAACACGAGACCTATTGCCGCCTTTTATTTACATTTGTTATTGAATTGTGACATCTCTTATAATATATGTAGATATTTATAAATCATGACACTTACATGCAATATTCTGTTAATGTTAAAATATGTCGGAAGACAATACAAGCAATTATATTAATTTTAGGAAAAATAAGAACTTACATCCCATTAAAGGTCATTTGGTATCTCTGCTTACAGTATCAAGAAATGCAGTTTCAATAATATACATGTATACAATGTATGTATGGAATGTTATTGTAACTTCCAATATACATGTATATAATATATGTATGGAATGTTATTGTAGCTTCCACTATACATGTATACAATATATGTACAACGTTATTGTAGCTTTCAATATACATGTATACAATGTATTTATGGAACGTTATTGTACCTTTTAATATACATGTATACAATGTATGTATGGAACGCTATTGTAACTTCCAATAAACATGTATACAATGTATGTATGAAATGTTATTGTAACTTTCAATATACATTTATACAATGTATGTATGGAACGTTATTGTACCTTTCAATATACATGTATACAATGTATGTATTGAACGTTATTGTAACTTTCAATATACATTTATACAATGAATGTATGGAACGTTATTGTACCTATCAATATACATGTATGCAATGTATGTATGAAATGTTATTGTAACTTTTAATATACATGTATACAATGTATGTATGGAACGTTATTGTCACTTCCAATATACATGTATATAATGTATGTATGGAACGTTATTGTAACTTTCAATATACATGTATACAATGTATATATGGAAGGTTATTGTAACTTCCAATATACATTTATACAATGTATGTATGGAACGTTATTGTAACTTCCAATATACATTTATACAATGTATGTATGGAATGTTATTGTAACTTTCAATATACATTTATACAATGTATGTATGGAACGTTTTTGTAACTTTTAATATACATGTATACAATGTATGTATGGAACGTTATTGTAACTTCCAATATTCATTTATACAATGTATGTATGGAACGTTATTGTAACTTTAAATATACATTTATACAATGTATGTATGGAACGTTATTGTAACTTTCAATATACATGTATACCATGTATGTATGGAACGTTATTGTAACTTTCAATTTATTAATATATAACTAAAGGAATTCAAGTAGCGACCAAAGAGGACAGACTGTACGTTTCGGACACCTAAATCTGTTTGTTATTAATGTGAAAGTAAACCAAACGGTGTGTTACTGTTATCTATGAACTCTTTACTGTTTTAAGATTCATCTGGAATTGTATTTGATGCCGTTACCGCCGTATAAACTGTAATATAGGCGATACTAGCATGCATACTAAGACTCGCTCACTCTTGCTCACCGCCATCTTTTTTTCACGGACTCCAACAAGACTCATATTTGAATTTTACAATTTGTATCATCTTATTCTTGTGAATATGTCGCACGCTGACTCTGACAAGACAAATAAAAGGGAAATTTAGCGACTCTCCTTTAGTTTAAACATATTTTATTGTACAAATATACAAATGGATCGGACAACAAGTTATTAAAACTTAATAGAGTCCTCTCCGCAATACATAATGTTAAGTTAGTGTATATGCTTTTGGGGAAAGGGAAATAGATAAGGTGGAGAAGGAAAGGTGGGGTTGGAGGGGGCAGGGGTGATGGAGGGGAGGGGTGTTACCTAGAAAAGTAAACGTGTAAACAGAAAAATCGATCCGCATTTGAATAAATTATAAATTATACAAATTTCATGACATGCATCCTGGTATAGTAATTTCAAAATGAACAGAATCAATGTAACAAATAAATCAGGCAAAATAATGTCATACAATTTCATAAACACATATAACAACTTACACATAAATAAAAATAGAAAAGTAATAAATAAAAATAGAAAAGTAATTATAACTATCAAAACCTATTGCTGGATTTGATGTAATGATGCACATGTCTAAAGATACTTATGTTGTTTTCTACCGAAAGTTAACTACAGTCGAACCTCGTTATCTCGAAGTCGACGGGGTCGTGGGAAAACTTCGAGTTATCCGAGTATTCGCGTTATGCGGGTTGATAGATTTGGTATGAAATTTGCTGTTGGGACATAGCACTAGCAGTTGTTGGTTTTATTAATAGTTAATGCTTTTAATCAATCGATAAATTATATACGTAATCAATATAACAAATACAGCTA